TTGTATAACTCTGAAATACTCTGTACCATGTCCAGTCTTGTTTAAACTATGGAGAAAGTTACCTCTCCTGGAACAAGTAGTCTTTTAGATATAATTTTAAATTCAAGTTTTCTTTATAATTACCTTTATGGTGGAGCTGTAGAATTTAATTTGTTTATCCAAAATTACCTGAGTAGACTTGTGTTGAAACAAAATTACTTGAGTTGACTTGTGTTGAAACAAAAATTACCTGAGTTGACTTGTGTTGAAACAAAAATTACCTGAGTTGACTTGTGTTGAAACAAAATTACCTGAGTTGGCTTGTGTTGAAACAAAATTACCTGAGTTGGCTTGTGTTGAAACAAAATTACCTGAGTTGGCTTGTGTTGAAATTGTATAGCTTTATTTCATATTAAAATAATATTGTTATAAAACAAGTAATCTCAGTTGGTTCAACATTTGAATTTCATGATTCTGTTTTAATAAAACACAAGATAATATATATATATATATATATATTTTAATACAGAATTTAATTTTTATAAAACATTACTGTCTGGCTTAGACTTTCTGAATTTTTGAACTTAACACTTGATCCTTTGAAACAAGGTTTCAATACCCATTGTGGGCAGAGCACGGATAGTCCATTGTGTAGCTTTGTGCTTAACTTCAAACAAAAACAAAGCTTTCATAACTTCATGTAATTTTCATAGTACATCGTGTGTTTTGACTAAATCTCGTACTTTTTTTTTATAGACAACAGAAGAAGATCTCCGAAGCTTGTTCTCAAAGTATGGCAGTGTAAAATTTACAAAGATCATTGTTGATCGTAACGGAGTTTCCAAAGGGTCTGATTTTTGTTTATTTTCTAGGATTATAATTTTTCCATTTTTCCAATCAAAAGAGTTAAACAAGTTGTATAAAAATTAGTATATTTTGGAAATATGAGAAATTTTTTAACTGATGGTATACCTAAAATGAATACTTTTTCATTGTTAGTATAGTATGTAATAGTGATGTGCTGGTTACTGGGTATAATATTCATTTGATACAAATTTCTGGTGTTAAAAGTATTGTCATTTAAAATATATTAAGTTATCATATGTTTGTAATTTTCCTTTTATACAGCTATTATAAAATATATTATTAAATGCTCATTATTATAAAAACATTGTATTAAACCATCTATATAAAATATGTGGTAGATCCTTTCATCACTCCTTCAACTAACAAAAATACTTTTGGTAGTTACATGTTTCCATTTTATTCATATTTACTTATAATATTATATTAGTGTTAACTCTTTAATTTTATGATTCAGTTAAGCCTACATGCATGAATTAAACATTTTACTGAATGTCTCCTAAGCATAATAACACTCATTGGTTATATTTGTAAATAATGTAACTGTGTGTGTGGTAAGATGCAGGCAGATCGTATGAAACTAAAGTACGACATAACTATTTGTTCAAACCCCAAAAGAAACTGCAGTTGCTAATAATCTTATAATTTAACGAGAAGAAAGGCTAACTTTAATTATAATAGAAATAAACAGGAAGAACTATTATTTTTCTGATTAAATAAGCTTGAAATGACAGCTTCTTGTTTTTCATCTTTTATTTTAAGAGTGCACATAACTCTTTCAAACTTTCAACTCTTCTGTCAGAACATACCTTAAAAGTTTGCACAACAATGATGGTATTGTATAGTGTTATTCTGTTCTTTGTAACCACTCATCCTTCCTCATCACTTCACATTTCCATTGAGTAAATGGTTATTAATTGTTAATAAAACTGTGCTGTCATTTTCAGAAGTTAGTTTCTTTTATTCTGTTGTGGTCATACAGAGATCAGTCTTATCCTTAATAAAACTGTGCTGTCATTTTCAGAAGTTAGTTTCTTCTGTTGTGGTCATACAGAGATCAGTCTTATCCTTAATAAAACTGTGCTGTCATTTTCAGAAGTTAGTTTCTTTTGTTGTGGTCATACAGAGATCAGCCTTATCCTTGTATAGTTCCATTGGTGAACTGAAACAGATATTGCTGTAAAAGAAGCTAGTTTCCAGTTTTGTGCAAGAAGTTTATACTTAAATAGTGTTAAGCTACTGACAATAAATTATCGACTAAGGCTTCTTAGTAGATTAAATAATTTTAAATATAGAATAAAAATGTAAATCTCTTTTTTACGTGTTTAATATAACTATATTACAATGACTCTTGCCCTATCTAATGTTCAACAGTTTCCTGAACTTGCTGTCATGTTTGCAGTTTACATGTAACGTGTAGGTGCAATGCTATTACTAACAACCAATGGTGTAGTGCTAAATATAGAAGTGTCGGAATGAATTTAACCGTGGTGGTACGGCTGAAAAAGTCCAGATACACTGCCTGCATATTCCCACTCCACTACACCTCTGCTAAGCACTATCTAATAATAAATTTCTTTTCACAATAAGTTCTTGTATTGTGATACACCTCTGATGAAGTATCGTACTTTTCTGTATCTGCACGTCCCTAGAATTTGATTTTTAAACTAACCTAAATATCCTAACTCTATCAAACCTTTGTGAAATAAAATGGTTACATTAACAATCAGAATATCCAACGAAAGTTTCACTGTATTCTAATAAATATAGGTTTTAGTTTTGATCTAGATGTTTAGTTTTCTTTTAATCACAATTTCTTAAGAATGAAAAAAGAGCGTATACTTGAGGACAATCGTCAGGGTCACATGGTTATCAGTTTTGGCTTCTGGTTAGGCAGATAACAGTGAATCTAAAACTTTATGGAGTTAATTGTGTTCTACAAATATATATGATATTAATTTATTAATCTGTAAAAATCCTTTACTTAATATTCAATTATTTTGTTTTTAGCTAGCAGAGACATTTTGATAGCCAGACTTATTAGAAGTTAAATGTTCCTATTATTGATGTTGTTTAGGTATGGTTTTGTAACATTTGAAACTGAAGAAGAAGCTAAACAGGCACAAAAAGTGGTAAGGCATGGTTTTATCTTAATCTTTTCATTGACCTAAGATTAGATTTTAAGATTTTTTCTCTCCAGTTGAAATAATTTGACAGTGTATGGATTGAGAACTGTAATCATATAAAAGATTCAAGTCAACATATTTCAGTGATCTTCTTCATATATAACCTAATTAGTTTGTAGTTGAGATTTTAAATGTTTAACACTAGCTTCAGGTTTTACATACAAAAAATTCCCGAGGCACTGTATGTTTTTTTTTACATAAAATATTCCTAAACTATGATTTATTGAATAATGAAGGTTATCAATAAATAAAATGAATGATATCTCTTAAGTTTATTATGGTCAAGAATTAATTCTGAGTAGAGCTGAGCAATTAGTGGAATTTGCTAATCAATTAATGAGCCCAGTGATTAATTATTCTCATATTAAATTAATCTTACTATTTTTAGCTTGTTTCGGGTTTTTTTTAAAGACTTTTTTTGAATGACCCTTGTTGTAATATGGTATTTTTAGGTACTATAACTTAGGATTAAGTTTGTTTTTTTTTATCTTAAGCTGTTGTAATTAAAAATGTGTACAAATTTTCATGAGGATACTCTACTAAAAGTACTGAATTTTTGTTGCTGAAAATAAAGCATTATTTTGTGACTAAAGATAACATTTTCAGGATTGTATTAGATGTTACATTTGTACATGCCTTTCATACTTTGTTGACTGGTGTTATCTGTATAGTAAGGGGGTGCTTCATAACTAGCCAGAGTCAGTAAGGTTGAGAAAAGAGTATAGAATTGTTAGCAAAAATTGGGATATTTATTAAATAGACTCAGTGGTAGGTCTGAAGGCTTATAATGCTAAAATTTGGGATTTTGATACCCTTAGTGGGCACAGCACAGGTAGTCCATTGTGTAGCTTTGTGCTTAATAACAAACTGTTAAAAATAATTGTTGTTAAAGAAAACATTACAACATTGTTACAGAGAACTTGGATATCTGGCTTTAGTACACTGTCACTAAATAAACTAATTCATTGTTAAAAATAATTGTTGTTAAAGAAAACAATACAACATTGTTACAGAGAACTTGGATATCTGGCTTTAGTACACTGTCACTAAATAAACTAATTCATTGTTAAAAATAATTGTTGTTAAAGAAAACAATACAACATTGTTACAGAGAACTTGGATATCTGGCTTTAGTACACTGTCACTAAATAAACTAATTCATTGTTAAAAATAATTGTTATTAAAGAAAACAATACACCATTGTTACAGAGAACTTGGATATCTGGCTGTCACTAAATCAACTAATTGTTGTTCATATTTTGTGATAAAAGATTCTTGTCACAGTGATTGTTAGTTATTTAATTCATTATGAACATTATCACTGATCTAATGTCTGTAGGTATATTAATCTCACATACATTATTGCTAATCTAACATCTGTTGGTATATTAATCTCATACATTATCACTGATCTAACGTCTGTTGGTTTATTATTCTCACATAAATTATCACTGATTGAATGACTGTTGATTTATTGTTCTAACATACGTAATCACTCTTCAAATGTCTGTTGGTTGATTATTCCAACGTACATTATCACTGATCTAACGTCTGTTGGTTTATTGTTCTAATATACGTAATCACTCTTCAAATGTCTGTTAGTTGATTATTCCAACGTACATTATCACTGATCTAATGTCTGTTGGTTGATTAATCTAACATACATTATCACTGTTTAAATGTCTGTTTGTTTATTATTTATCGAATGATTGTTGGTTAATTATTCTAATATACATTATCACTGATCGAATGTCTGTTGGTTTATTATTCTAACGTACATTATCACTCTTCAAATGACTGTTGGTTTAATATTTAAACAACTGGTTCTCCATTTACATTTGGTACCATTGTGACAGTAGGTAAAATAAAACATTAATAGGTTAATATGAAGATTTGTGTGTCAGTATTTGAAAGGGTAGAGTAGACACATATTTATTAGTTATATAAATATTTATTGTTTGCAAGGTTTGTGTGTCAGTATTTGAAAGGGTAGAGTAGACACATATTTATTACTTATATAAATATTTATTGTTTGCAAGGTTTGTGTGTCAGTATTTGAAAGGGTAGAGTAGACACATATTTATTAGTTATATAAATATTTATTGTTTACAAGGTTTGTGTGTCAGTATTTGAAAGGGTAGAGTAGACACATATTTATTAGTTATATAGATATTTATTGTTTGCAAGGTTTGTGTGTCAGTATTTGAAAGGGTAGAGTAGACACATATTTATTAGTTATATATTTTTTTTATTGTTTGCAAGGTTTAATATTGACAGAGAATATATGATGCATTACATTAATATTTGAATGAAAATCTGTTAAGTTACCTATACTTCTCATAGTGATATTTACCACATTGTAATCACCTAATGAAATTTAAAGATTTTGAAAACCCACATTTTGTGTATGTCCAGGACTCTTTAGTTGATATATGTTTTGTATACTCTTGTGTATTTGTTGAGATTGATCCAGTCCTTATTTCGTGCTTTTAATTAATAAATGGTTTACTCCTGTAGGCTGAGAACATAGTATTAAAGGATAGAAAATTAAACATAGCACCAGCAGTGAAGAAACAGGTTTGTTTCAAAACATTTCCTTTTGTTCTCTCTCTATGATTACAAAAAGGGGGGGGGGGTCACTTAGTCTGGCCATTTGATCAAGAGGGTTGTGTAAAAGATTAAAAAACTGAATCACTGGCAGATATTTTTAGTTTGGAAAAACATTTTCTATGCAAAAGAGTTGGAGTAGTAATGATAAAGGGTTCAAATATCATCACAAATGTATGTTTTCCAGACGAACAATAAAGCACAAGAATCGGTCATTTTTTTACGGCAAAATATATTAGTTCTCTGAATAAACACTAGAAGATATTAATGGATTGATCTTCAGTTAAGAAGAAAATGCAAATATTGTGCTATTATTTGGAATCATGAAACAAGAAAATCATTTTGATAAATTCCTGAATACATTATTTTATTCTCATAGTAACTAAGTACCACACAAAGTTATCGGAATAATTTTCAACTTAAATCAGTTCTTTGAAGTGTAGCTCAATAGATTTGAAAAGTAAGAACGTTCATTTGGCTCTTCAACATTTTTATTTGAACATATAAATATCTGTAGTTTGTACATGGATTTAATTCAAATTTATCTTTCCAAGTTTTTGCTTAGTTGTAATAAAGACTAATAGTAATGATACGACTTGTTTTCTGTTTCCAGCCCTTCACCAGAGTTTATGGTAAGTTTTGATTTATCTATAAATTTCCCATTAAACTTAAGACTAGAAAAATATTGTAGGGGACACATTCATAACAGGAATTTTCACCTATTCTACACTACTAAAGTCTGGCAGGTGCTGGATTATAAAGCTATTACTGTACTCTATCACTTTTGTTGCAAATTATGAAGACATGTCTGATAATGCATAAAAGTAAAGATAACCTCTAAAATCTCGGATAAACTCGCATGTTTTTTAGCTTTAGCAAGTTATAGATTTTATTTTTTCATTAAAATAATTAAAATTGGTAACTAAAAGTCAACATACAGCTCCTTGCAAATTTATTCACCCCCCTTTCAAAGTTCCACATTTTGTTGCCATCTGAGCTTCCAATCATGAAACTTTCAAAGGGGGTTTTATGTTTACAATGTACTCCAAACTATGAAATCTAAAAAAACTATTATGTAAGTAAGTTAAATTTTCAAAGAAAATTAGAATATTCTCAATTGCATGAGTATTCAGCCCCCTGTGCTATGGCAACCGTAAATCGGTTTAGGTGTAAAAGATTAGTTTGAAAGGTCACAAAATTAGTGTAATGGTCTCTATCTGTGTGTAATCAAAAGTGGTTAAACTTGACTTCAGAGTAAATGCTTCTGTTCAAGTCAGAACTCGTATAATGATACGACAAACCAACCATGAAGACCAAGGAGCTTTCCAAACAAGTTAGGGATAAAGTGGTAGAGAAGCACAGATCAGGAGAAGGTTACAGGAAAATTTCAAAGTTGCTGATTATCGCTTTGAGTACGGTGAAGTCCATCATTGAGAAGTGGAGTGTGCTTCATACCACCCAGTCACTACCCAGATCGGGCTGCCCTTGTAAACTAAGCAGCCGGGTAAGCAGGAAACTGGTTAGGAATGCCACTGTGAATCGAACATTGACTTTGAAAGGTTTGCAAAGTTCCACGTCTGAGATGGAAGTCAGTGTTCATACATCAACAATATCCCAGTCCCTACACCAAGCTGACCTGTATGAGTGAGTGGCAAGAAAGAGGCCACCTTTGAAAAAGAATCATCTTAAATCTTGTATAAAGTTTGTGACAAAGCATGTAAATGATACTACAGACATGTGGCAGATGGTTTTGTGGTCAGATGAGACAAGAATTGAGTTTTTTTGGCTTAAATTCAAAGTGTTACATCTGACACAAGCCCAACACAACAAAGCATACAATCAACACCATCCCAACTGTCAAGCATGATGGTGGCACCATCATGTTATCTGGATTGAAGGGAAGATGGATAGTGGAAAATACAAGTGAATCCTAGAGGAAAACCTGCCTGAGTCAGCCAAGAATCTAAAACTAGATCAAAAATTTACATTTCAGCAGGGCAATGACCCGAAGCACGAGGCCAAAGCCACACTGAAGTGGTTTCAGAAGAAGAAAGTGAATGTTCTAGAATGGCCCATTCAAATTCTGACCTGAATCCAATAAAAAATTTATGGCAAGACTTGAAGATTGCAGTCCATCAACAAACTTGTCAGAATTGGAGCAATTTTGCCAGGAAGAATGGGCAAGCATTACACCATCCCACTGTGCAAAGCTAGTAGAGATCTATCCAAAAAGACTCACACCAGTAATTGCTGCCAAAGGTGCTTCCAGATTTTGCTGACATTCAACCTCCTTCACATATAACAGTGTTAAGTTTGATCATTAGAGTTTTGAATAAAAACAAGTTCATTTAAAAAAATTGTTTACATTATTTGTATTTCATCACTCATATTTGTTACCATTACAGATTCAATGAACTTACGAAATAATGTTTTATCCGGTTGAACAATCCTTGCTTAGTGATGGGAGGTAGTAGTTACTGTCAACCAGAGGATTTGCCCATTTCGTCACATCTTTGTTGTTACTTTTTATAGCTGGGAGACTTTTCGTGTTTAGGTTTTTATATCATAAACTATTTTCTTATGCTGTGTTACCCAGAACTTTGAATAAATTAATTTTTTGTAATTGCTTATAACAAGTAAAACTTTTCATATCGGGAATAGTAAGAAAAGGTATATTTCATCCTTAAAACATTTAACACGGCAGAGAGATTTCAAATTGTTTAGGTGCTAAATTTCAATATTCCAAAACAGTAAGATATGTTTGTTAACAGTATGTGAAATAGTAATGTTTACTTACTGACATAATAAGATTTAGTGATTAGAATAATCATTAATGGTATGAAGAGTGGTGAATTTCGTTGTATTACTGTAAATTTACTGAGCAGTAACTTCTGTTGTTCAGAAAAGATGTAGTTGCTGTGTTATTACACTGGTGTTTTAGGATTTTAGTTCTTTTCTAGATACTCCAGTGGTGTCTAACGGATCAGTGATCGTCTACCATAATGGAATTCCATATGTCTATCAAAATCCTGGTTCTGTTGTCCTCAACCCAGAACCCACTTACCATTTCCAGCAGCCTCAGGTGAACAACATGCCTCTAGGCTCATGTGTCTGTATTCAGTGTTTGTATCGTACAAATTAAATAGCTTTTCCTTCAAATATTAACATCAATTGTTCTTACTGATGTTGAAATGAAATTTATGATTGATTTTAGGAAGCTAAAACGTAATTTCTGTTATCTATGTTCGTGTCGTTATTGTCAACTGATAGTATTTTTTATTTTATATCTTATTGTGTTAATTTACAATATTCATACGAGTTTGTGTTGACGTGATTAATGTTATATAAAGGATAAAATTATAAACATTTAAATAGCACATTTTGTAGTTCCAACTTTAAATGAAACTTAAGCATGTAATACTTCAGAAACTAGAAAGCTAATGTATAGTTTTTGGTAATAAAATTATTGGTTTAAAATCTAGGCTACCTACCCTATGGTCTATGCTCAACCAGTTTATCTACCTCAGCAGTACCAGTTTCACCATGTGGTAAGAACATGTTGCTTCGATAATGCCAGTGTCTCTTTTTCTGTTGATAACTACATGCACGTTTTAGTATCTTCATAGTACTGACATCACCTAAAAAAAGATATGGACATTTTGATCCAGTAACATATGAATTTGATTTAAGTATGTGTTAACAGTTACTCTTTTTTTTTGGTATAAAAAATATAAGATTCGAGCGAAAAAATATAAGTAGGTTGATCTCGGTTTCATGTGGTCTTGCCTCTTTTATAACACTTATTGTTTATTCCGAACATAGGACTTACAAAACTTTGCTGCTTTTATAATGTGTGTAGCTTTGTGAAGGGTCACATATTGACAATATGTGTTAGAGCTTAGACTGTTTTTGGATACTTAAATTCCAGCTTCTTTGGTTGGACAGTGTTTTTTATTAGAACTACATAACTTAGCTTCATTAAATCATGAAGTCTCCTAATAAAATATTGTTCCCCTAGAAAAGCTAGTTTATTATTCAAACACAAGGATTCTCTATTGTTATATAGGTTGTTTTTGTATTTGTTAGCTGTCCCAAGTCTTGCATCAAAAATTTTTGTTTATAATTTTCAAAATTATAAATAAGTTATTTTTATAAAGTGTTTTAACATCATCAATGGGGGTATATCTAAATGAAATTCTTCATCGTATTGTCAGAATAATAATAATTAAAAATTAGCTTTAATAAATTAACTCAAGCTCTTTGAATATATGTCTAGAGATTGTTCTCTTAAGCACTGGGATAATGATAGGGTGGACAGTAGTATAATTTTGTCTTTTTTCACGGGTCAAGGAATACGAATGTGTAATAAGCAAAAAAAAAAAACAATTATTGAATATATTTCATCACCAAAAAACTGAAGATTATTTGTAGGACTAATTATAGTTCGTATTAGCCCAGCTACTGTTGTAGTTCCAAGTGCAGGTTAGTAACTTCTATATATTCTTCACACTAGCAGAAATGCTGCACAACGGTCAGCTGCTTGTGCTAGTAACTACTAATCGTACCTATTGAAAAAAATTTAGAAAAAGTGAACATTTTTCTGGGAAGTACTGCACTGGCAAACTGTTTGAATTGCGCTGATATAAACTGTAATTTTTTTAGTGCTATATTTACAAATTACATCAATAGAGATATAATCGTATCCTCACGTACAGTCCTAGTGGTTATTTGGGCTGTCGACTGCCAGGGTCAGTAAGGCTGTCAACATGTTGAGTCTCCTCCTTATAAATATATTGTAATGTTGTTTTTGTTACATTTTTTTTTTATCCTTGTACGAGTTTGTGAATGAATATATTTGAGAAGCATGATGGTCAGTAGTGTTCTGGTACTTTGAGTTATGTAGCCTGCTTTGAGCTAATTTTAATTTGGTTTCATTGAAATTGTTAATAAGGTGCATCAAAGATCTGGTAATATGTGAATTGTAAAAGTACATGTGCTACAGACTCGGGTGAAAGTAAGACTTCAGTGTTTTTTTTTCCCCAAACACTTATTGCATTTAATTACTTAAAGATTGAAATAGTTTGCTGATTAAAAGCTTCCATCAGTAAAATAACCTCCTGTCTCTGTCTACAGACACCTGGTGTTCCCACGCACTGTGTCTACCCATCAGCTGCTGCCCATCCACCAGCTGGTACCTCGGCTTCCACTCCCGAGATGTATCAAATTATAACTGTCCCTGTTTCTTCCAATCCTCTTCCAGGAACACCAGCTTATACGACAAATCAAGCGGCCACAACTGGTCCCATTCATGTGTTAGAACATCCAGAGAACTCCCATTCCGATGGAGCAGCAGCGGAGGTATGCTGTATGTTTTCTTACTAGAGGGGAAACTTTCATTAAATTAGTGCAGTGCTGTGTTGTTGTTTTTTATATTCTTTGTATGTGTTACCAGAAGTCTTCTTTCTTGACATTATAATTTGTATATTTTAAATGTTTTAGTATCACCTATCTATATTTTATAAGAATGATTTAGTTTGAAATATGTCAGTTACGCTGTGATATCCCATCTTAGTAGATTAGCTTTGCATGACTTTCCGTACCGTGTTTGTACCCGATGACGACAAAACCTTGTCGAAACGTTGTACATTTGCTGTTAGGTTAAACTTATATTATTAAAGTTTTTTTTTTGTTTACCCATTCAAGCCGTCTCCAAGCATTATACTGTGTGTGTGTGTGTGTGTGTGTGTGACTGGAGGTCAGTGTGTATGTCACAACCTTTTACAGAGTTACGTTCATAATTTAATTAAGCAACTTTATTATCAGTGTATGTCATTCAAATCTTAATATCATTTAATTTCAAAAGGAAATATTTAAGTAAGTTCTGAATCTCTACTTCTGTATTACAATGTTTCTTCACTCCAAACTGATCATTTTAGATTGTAGTACATGTATTAACATGACTACAAGTGACTACTTTTACATGTGACAGAAAAACAGTGTATGTAGTACATTTATAAACATCACTACATGTGACAGAAAAGCTACTACTAGTGACTACTATTATATGTGGCAGAAAAACACATTATTTGTTCTAAACTGTGAAAGACTGAGAGATTTTGTATATAATATATTCAAGAAATACAAGGGTATTGCATGTTTTAGTCAAAATTTTTCCCATGTGTTTACTCTAAATGTAGTTCTTTGGTAGCAGGAGAATCGAGTGTCCTACTCTTCGAGGCCAAACTCTGCCGGTGAAGTAGTTTGTGGGAGCCCTTCCAACATGGTTGCATCTGTAAGAGTTACTATGACTGGAAACCCAATGATGCAAGGTGCTGGTGATGCCACAAGGGGATACACCCTAACTGAAAATTGTGGCCACCAGGCTCAGTTCATGTCTAAGTCTGTCAGTGGTGTAACTGTCATGGCTTATCCTGCACCAGTTGTCCTCGCTCGTTCTACATCGCTATCTAAGATCTCTGCCGAGAAAGGCTACGAGGGTGTCAATAATAATTTGAGTGACTGTAATATTTCAAGTAATATGACTGCCGAAGCTCTAACTCCACCACCAACTCCCGTTACTCGTACAAGTCAGAATGGAAGTAGAATTAATGCTCTTGTGAAGGAAATGACCAACCAGTTGCAGACCTTTAACTTATAAAATGTAGACTTAATATCTTATAAACTATTTTTAAACCATGAATTTTTGTACATTCTCTGTGCTTTAGTCAAAAGTAAAGGTGCCAAAAGTTAAGTATTTTTTTACCTAGCTGGTGAAGAGTGTTTTTAGACACTGCATCAAATTTCTAAAGGAATCTTTGCAGGAAATTTAATTAAGCTTAGTGTCTTGAAATGGTTAGAAATAATATACAAAACTGTATATATATATATATTTATTGAAATGGCATTATTAGGTGCCAAATTAAAGGGCCTTCTTTATTGTTTGGTTGTAGAAGTTACTTTAATAGCTAGAACTTAGTGGGCCTTGTAGGGTTCATTTGGAAAAGTTTCTTCAATTTCTACAAATCATTTGGCCTTATTTACAGTAAAAGTTACTTGAAAAGCTACAAAAATAATGGGCCTTGTTTTAGGGCTCTTGTCTAAAAATTACCTTAATGCCTACAAAAGTAATGGGGCATGATTAAGGCTTGTGTCTAAAAGTCGCCTTTACACCTAACAAAAATAATGGGCCTTGATTAGGGCTTATGTCTAAGTATTGCTTTGATGCCTTTAAAAAATAATAGGCCTTATTTAGGCCACATGTCTAAAAATTGTGTTAATGCCTAGAAAAGTAATGGACCTCCTTTTAAGGCTCATGTCTAAAAATTACTTAAACATCTTAATAAAAAATTGGCCTTATTTTAGAGTTTGTGTCTGAAAGTTGTGTTAACATCTACAAAAGATAATGGGTCTTGTTTAAGATACATGTCTAAAAATTACATTAATGCCTACAAAAATAATGAGCTTCATTAAGGTCACATGACTAAAAGTTTAACTCCCACAGAAATAATTGGCCTTGTTTTAGAGTTTGTGTCTAAAAGTTGTGCTAACATCTACAAAAATAATGAACTTCATTAAGGACACATGACTAAAAGTTTAACTCCCACAGAAATAATGGCCCTTGTTTTAGGGCTCATGTAAAAGCTAACACAAGTTAATGGTCCATGCTTACGGTTAATTTATCAAAGTTCTCTTCAGTATTTAAAATAAAAAAATTTTGTTTTTGAATTTTCCGCAATTATTGTCTTCCACCTCCTTTTGAGAAGTTAATGAAACTGGGACCGATAGTTAATTTTTATTTTTCTGGTTTAGTTTTGAAAGAATACTTTTAAAGAATTGCCAATTGTTTTTTCTTTGTTTTTTTTTTTTCCCCCTATAAAATTAATATAACCAGTTCAGTACTTATTTTTCTGTTCTTTGAGGGCACTTCTTTTATATCTAAATGCAAACATCTTTTTTAAACAGGTTTCTTTCATCAATAGAGGATAATATTCAGAATAATATTTTTACATAAACTACTTTTCAGTTTTACTGGTTCTATCATAGTACCTGCTCTTGTTACTGGATCTTGAATGTAAATGTGAAAGAAAAAAAAAACTGCACAGTTTTGTTCAGTGTCTGTGATATTGTGTGATAATACTCAATAATGTTAGTAACAGCTAATTTTTGTAATTTCATTTTGATAAAGATTGATACTTGTTGAATATATAAGTTGATTTTATAACATTTTATATAAAAGTTAAAAAAAGCTTTTAAAAAATTTCTTACAATTTGTAAGCTTCTAGTCAAAGTATATCATAAAGTCTTGATGACTATATAAATTTCTGATCATTGAAAGTATACTCTTAACATATTTAACAATATGTTTGTCAAATGTTACTCTGTGTGTGTGCCTGAAAGTACCCAAGTGGATTACAATATAACTTTAAAGAAACGAATAAAAGATTTATTAAAAAACTATGCAGAGTATTAATAACCTCACATTGGTACAGAAGGAGAGATTACACATCTGTTTACAGAACGTCACTATTATGATATTTTTGTGTGGTGGGTTGACACTATGATGGAACCCTGGATTTGGGAACCGGTAAGCTGGGCTTAAATGCGTGTTATATAACAAAATATATCCTGCACTTTAAATTTTGGGTGCATTATAACAGACAACCAATCAACCTCTTAGTGTGGGTGGTAAGGTGCCACTGACTGCTCAGTAGCTCAATATTAGGGATGGCAGCAGATAGCGTTAGTGGTTTTGCCATAAATACAAAATAACAATTTTTGTCTTCCAACAATTGTGAGCTTTATTTGAGAGATTATTTGTTACAATCAATAAAAACATTATTAATTGAATGTTTTTAGAATAAAATAAACATTTTTGCATAGTAGCCTGCACATGCAAGTGGCTCGCCACAAATTTGTTTGAGAATGTGTAATCAACCTGGAAACGACTTGTTGGAAGTTGTTTATTATATACTTATTACTGTCACACAGTAGTGAGCAGTCTGATGTAGGAAAGACCCAACTTTCTAAAACACTTTAGTTATAAGATTGTATTTTTGTCTTTATTTGGTTTTGTTTTAAAGCGCGTGTTTTCCCAACACTGAATTTCATACAGAGTGTCATAATTTTCATTTTGTCAGTTGTTTCTTGTGACAAATCTCAAAATGTCTTGCATTTTAGCATAAATATTTAGCTGAAAACTTTGGATTGAGTATTACAAGTTTGACGGGTAGGTGTAGGTAGTTTTGTGGTATTGGTTATATAGCTCTGCAAGTATGTGAATGTTAATGAATATTTTGTCAACACCGGTACTAGGGAGGGTGAAGTAAGTAATAACGTTTTTTTTTTAATTAGTAGGTTCTTTTCTTATGTACTTTGTCTACACCCAAGTTACAGGTTTAAGAAGCAAGTACAAAATCTGAATGATAAATGTGAGCAAGCCGGAAGTGGTATTTTTTTTAGGCTGGTTACAAAACTTATTCAAAAGGTTAGCCCTAACTTAACTAATCAATATAAAATCCTCACCTGTTTTGCAGCTTTACTGAGGTTGAGTACATTATATTAAACTATTTTAGAGCCTCATCATGTCTGTTCCTGCTTTATTTGATGACCATGCATCTTGACAATAGCCTCGCAGTGTAGTTTTTATTAAAAAATACTTAGTCATAAGGTTGTCATGTCTAAAACACAAAAATCTTCCCTGCAGATTTCCATAATCCATCTAGTTTATAAAGTTGGCTGTTTTTCAGCACCCATTTAAACTGTCTGGTTGCACAGAAATCCACAGATGTTGCATCCAGTGACTTGACCAGTATGTTTTGATACAGAATAGTTTGAATACTCATTTGATTCTCCAGCTGCTTGGGGTATGCAACAGTTTAATGAGAGGTATGACTAGAAACCTTATCTTGGTGAGCCTCTAACCAGTTGGTGATCTTTTTTGATCATGTTGCGTAGGATGCATGGACTGCTTTTGCCAGTGAACTTTGTGTGCATGGACTATCATCTCTTTCAAGACACTGCACTTTGTTTACATTGGCTAGGGAACAACCTGTAGTAGGTTTCTTATTACATGGTCTTGGTAAGTTTCTCCATATTCTTTTGTTTTGAGTACCATTGAGTACAAGTACTTAATGATGACGAGAAACCCACTTGAAATAAAAATGTATAGCAGAGATGGCTGGTATGGGTATTAAAAACTTTAATTAAAATAAAGTACAAGAACAACATTTCAACCTTCTTAGATCAACTTCAGGTTAACAAAGTTTCAAACTGTCTTTGTTAACCTGAAGATGATCTAAGAAGGTTAAAATGTTATTCTTGTACTTTATTTTAATTAAAGTACAAGTACTATTTCTTTCTTAGAAGTTCTAAATCCTCTATCTGAACACATTTATGGTGTAAGTATATGAATATTTTGTATGAAAAGGGCTTTACATACCCTTCCCAAAAACTGGTCAAATTCAAAGCCTCTCCAAAAGTGATCAGATTCAAAGAGGTTAAATGATCTGCTCCCTGATAACATTATCACACTTGAAATTCAACAGTTAAAGAGTTTTGTAACTCTGCAAGCATTAAAAGTTTTTTAGCTAATTATTCTTTGGGACTGATTTAAAAATACATAAAACACAAAGTAATTATTATATAACACTGGATCCAAAAATAATGGAAATGGCTACAGTTCAACTAGAACCTACATAATTATCCAATATATTCCAAGCTGTTTGCATCATATCTCATCATCAAGAACACTATTTCATAAATTAACAATTGTTTAAAGGAATTAAAATAAAAGCTGATTCATCCACATAATTTATTATGAATTCTATCGGTAACAGTCACATCAATGGTAGTAACTTCACTAATGGCTTCACTGTTTTCCTTTTCAAAACCAGGTAGAGTTTCTTCTTTGAATGTGAGTTTTTCAGGAGACATCTTCAGCAGCGTCATTTGTTCTATTGTTCACTTCGTCCCAACTGAAATGTCCTGGACCGTGATAACGCCAAAGCCTGTTGGCATGCACCACTTTTGGCTTACCTCGCAGGCCATATTTTATCCGGAAAGTAACGTCTGAGAGATGATCCACTATGTAATATGGGCCTTCCCATGGAGAATACAACTTAGGAGACTTCCCTTTGGTCTTCCTGGGATTATACAACCACACCTTGTCTCCTGGTACAAAGCTGACTTCAGTAGATCTCTTATCATAACATAGCTTCATGGAATCAGCAGACGTTTTCAAGTTTGAATGCACTCGATGGTGAATATCATCCATCCTTTCAGATAACACTTTCACGAACTCTGACACATTTTCAGGCAACTCTTTGTAAGGTGGGCATCCTGTTATCAAGTCCACTGGCAACCGAAGTTCCCGACCAAACATCAACTTTGCTGGAGTGTATCCAGTGGCTTCATGCTCTGCTGTTCTATAGGCCATCAACAGTAGAGGGAGTAAGACATCTCAGTCATCTTGGCGACTATTACAAAACTTTGCCAATTCCTGTCCCAGTGTCCAGTTGTACTTTTCTACCATCAGAATGTGGATGAAGTGGCGTTGTTCTGGTCTGTCGTATGCCAAACAACTTGCAGCATTCATGGAACACAGCTGAATCAAAGTTACGGCCTTGATCTGAATGCAGTTCGTATGGAATACCAAATCTGAAGAAAAAAATCACTAATAGCCAAAGATACTT